GCATATTTGATGACTGCAGTAAGCTATATAGCCCCAGCTGGGTACTACTTTATAATATGTTCATTCTACTCACTGAGGTTTATGCCTAAAGTCAGACTTGGGTTCATGTGTAGATATATATCAGCTATGCTAGCTATTTGATATTTTTAGACTAATTAAGTTCATTAGCAAATCAATTAAATGCGGGGGGAGTCATAGAGAGCAACCATGGATACCAGAGACAATGTAGGAGGAGGGTGGGACATGGCAGAGGGCGAGGGATAGGGAATCAAGAATGGCAAAATGAAAAACAAAGTATACAAGACATAAGAATTGGAAAATTATTTGCTGATAACATGTATGCTGATAACATGCGCTTGACTGAGGCAATACACAGTGTATTTTGGATGGAAAATTCATCTGTATGCTGTAATGATGTATAGTGAATTAATGTAAAAAATAAATAAATTTAAAGAGGAAAAAAAAAAAAAGAAACACTTGAAATACGATGTGAAAACGAAGTCAGCCTGCTGCAGAGAAAGAGCGGCCATGTTAAACTCCTGGCAAGTGTTCCCTTACTCTTCTTTCTTATGTCGATCCAGCACATCTCCTTGTCCAGGTGCCTAGGTCTGGCCAAAGAATCCTTCATTCCTGTGACTACAACAATTGAATGAGAAGTGGGCACATGACTAAAACTGGGCCAGCAGCTCTCTGGAAGTTTTTATCAAAGCTAGTGGAAAAATATTGACTTTTACTATGGGTTTCAGATTAAAAAACTGTACGTGTGAAGTATAGCCAGTCACTATGTGGGAATCAGTTTAGGAATGAAAATGGGAGTATGAAAGAAGACTTAACAGGAAGAGAGAGAGATAGTGAAAGAGAGAGAGAGATCTGATGATGATGATGTTTAAGTTCCTGGCTATTTTGAGTTTACTACTACATCTTTTAGTTCCGCAAAGTATTTTTTTAAAACCAAAAACAGAGTTAGCTCTGTACTAGCAACTGAGTATTCAATTACTAAAATTAATCTTTGGGTACTATATGCTATGTACTGAAACTGTGTTCACCCCCTACTCCCACCCCCAAATTCATAAACTCCAATGAAACTATATCTGGATATAGAGCTTTTAGAAGGTAATTAAGGTTAAATGAGGTCATAAGGGTGAAGTCCTAATCTGATAAAATGACTTTGTAAGAAGATTTCTGTCTCTCCTTCCAGAGCATGCACTGAGGACAGAAACCATCTGTAGGCCAGAGAGTCTTTACTAAAAGCAAACATGCTGATACCCTGATCTCAGACACTCGGTTTCCACAATTGTTAGAAAATACATTTCTGTTGTTCGAGTCAGCTATTCTATGGTATTTTATTATGCCAGCCTGAGCAGGATAACATACCATAGTTAATTGTGGCAGCAAGATTAGAAGGAAGAGGTAACATGAACAAAAATGTAGATTCAAAGGAACAGTCACCGTGGCTGGGAAAGTTTTCACAGAGCACTGGAAATTTGTCTGGGTGAGACTCCTAACCAGTTCACTGTGCACCCTGAGTTCTCCAAAGATGGTGGTATTCAGACAGAGCCCGCTGGTTTAACCATTCTGGGTGTTACCGTCAATGGTTGGACATAGGTCTGGATCCTTGAGTTACTAAATATTTTAAGTACATCACCCCTGCCCTGTAGTTCTCAGAGGCTGTGGATCTAGGCTTGGGAGCAAGTAGTAAATAAGAATGCAAAGCATTGAGAAGGCAATGTGAAGGGTAGGAAAGAAAGGGAATGAGGATTAGGGCAGAACGGCACTGCACACAAGGGGAAGATGGACCCTGGAAAGTCTGGTGCAGGTCCCAAAGGCAAAGTGCAAAAGATGAAAGAAGAGGTTTGCTTTTCTTGACTTTATAGTGCTCTTTGTAAACGAATATAAAGTATAAATATTTAAATGCAAAGATTTGAGATACAAAGTGGCTCTGAAGAACCCCTGAAAGCAGAATATCTTTAACTGCCATGATCTAATTATTCTGCTAAGGATGAAAGGAGAGTCTAGGGGATGACAAAGCAAAAATGGATATTAGGATGTGTATTTGAATGATGTCTGGTGGTCTGGGGTCAAGATATTTAAAAATATATGTTATTTATTTATTTTATTTTATTTTGGAGAGGTTTTTGCTATAGGGCACGTGCACTTGCCAGAAAAACAGAGAGAGAGAGAGAGACAGAAAGCAAGAAACCGCCCCCGGGGGGGGGGGGAATGGCCACGCCACAATCCCTTCTCCTTCATTCTCCTCTTGGGACCTTGGGCACACATACACAAGTGCCTGGTTTGTGTTTAAGCCACAGGGATCGACTTGAACCACGGCCAACTACATGAGAATCCAGCAACATAGCATTTACGCCAACTGCTGATCCCTATTTATTTATTTTTTTAAGAAAGATTTTTTGCTATATGGAATGTTTGCTCACCAGAGAGACAGAGAGAGACAGAGAGACAGAAAGTAAGAAATCACCACCCAGTAGTTATGGCCACGCTGCAGTTCCTTCTCCTCTATTCTCTTCTCGGGATATTTGGCATGCATGCACATACACCTGGCATGAGTTTTAAACCCCCGGGTCCAGGACTCATACAGTGGTCAACTACATGGGAGTCCAGTGATGTAACCTTTATGCCATCTGCTGGTCCCCAATTATATGTTATTTTTAATTGGCAAACAAAAATTGTATGTTTATCTAGAATTATTTTAAATATATTATCTAACTAATAAAGGATTACTGGTAATTATACCCTCTTAATTGTTATTATAGTTGTGAGTAAAGTTACTGCCTTTCAAAAATACATAAATTCATTCTGCTTATTTGGTGTTTTCCTATTTTCTTCCTAAAATCCCAAGCAAAAGACCCATAGTTGAACCTGTATCTCCATGTAGTCATAGTTTTAAATGAATCTGTAACATAATGATAAAGCTAATGCCTGGAACCCAGCTCTCACCCAGGCAGGTCTGAGTCTTATAGGGTAAAGGCATCAACTAAAAAGCTTTTCCTAAAAAACAACATGCGAAGACAAGGAATTCATTAGTTACAAGAGAAAAATGGTACTCTCACACAGTGTGTGTGGCACACTAGTGCTCCTGTCTTCCAGTGCATCTACCCATAGCAGTTTAGGAGGAAAATCAGATTTTTCACATTAGTTGAAATCATGTGTTTTTGCTACTATAATCATTGGGGTAGCACTGATAATTACTATTTAAAAAATTTCCAAATATCCACATTCAAGATTTGAAAAGCCCATATATCATTAATGACTACTTATGGACTTCAAGCTCAGTGTATCAGCAAGAAGCCAAATAAAATCATTACTGGATTTCTTTAGAAGAAAAATCATGATAACAACACGCATTTCTCTTTAACATAAATTTTTTTCTCTAAAAATTTCATAAATACTTTCAAAAAGTATTTTGACACAATATTACCAGGAAGGCAACACTACTTCTTCCTAAAGGTGATACTTCCTGTGGAGGGTGGCTACCCCACAACACCTTTCGCCCATGTCTCCTTCCCATCAAGATTTTGTACACACATGTGCCTACAGGCACAGACATGCAAATGTACCTGTTGTGTTGTTCAAGTCACAAAGGCAGGATATGAACCCAATCAACTATGTGAGACCCAGCTCCCATGCACTGTGCTCAACCACTGTGCTACAGGGCTGATCCATATAAAGATTATATTTCTGATGGGCATATCTTTAATGATCCGTATATAATCATCCCTTGGTATCTGTGGGGAATTTGTCCCAGGACCCCCTTTCATACCAAAATTTGCAGATGCTCAAGTCCCTTATATAACATGGTATAGTATTGAATATAAACTAGTCACATCCTCTTGTATGCTTTAAATTATCTTTAGATTACTAATGATATCCAATATGATATAAATACCATGTAAATAGTTGTTATAGTATGTTCTCACAATTTTTTAATGATTGTATTATTATTTTTAATTTTTAAATTTTTTTGATCTGCAATTGAAAAACTGCAGATACAGAATTTATAGATACAGAGAGATGAATGCATTGGTGTTTTCAAAAGTGACTGCTAAAGACATTCCAAAGAACTATTTGTACAATGCTAGTTCATTTTATTAGAGTTAGAAAGAAGTTAGGAAATGTGCTTTAAAAAAAAACATTATTTATCTTTAATTCTCCTTTTAAAATATGTTGTTAACTAAGGGAAGTTTTTGTTTTTTGAGGAGGAAAAGTGTAGTGAAGGAATAAATGGACTTTAGATCTAGTAACTCTGGGTCATTTTCATGAGCTACATAAAGCTGGCAATTTATCTAACCTCCCTGGGCCTCTGGGAAAAAAATGGGGATAATAATATTGTGATGTCATTGTGAGCATTATAAATAATGACATGACAAATAGTAGGAACCTACTAAGCAGCATATGGTATCAGCAATAAGCAATATTTAGTGTAATTAATGATAAGTAGCAGGGGCTTACTGAGTAGAGACCTGATAGTTTTATTACTTCATTTGTCATTGTACCTGGTGGAAGTGCATCATGTTCTGTTCAGGATTTCCCCAATCAAAAGCTTGAAGCCGACCAGAATTAACAACCTAAAATAAAATAAAGATAATAAACACGTTAAAATTATGTAAGGAAGCTGTGCACATCCGAAGACAGTAGACAAGAACTATACAAAGAAGATTGGTATTATAGCCCACTCTTTAGGTATGGAAGTTAAATTTCAATAAATATTAATGAGCCAAATATTAAATAGGACAAAAATGAATACTAATTTATAGAACTGACTGACATACACTTTCACTCCCTCCTATACCTATCTAGTGAAAATCTTCAGACAGGAATATATTCAAATATCACATTGCTACACATAGATCTCTTTTAAAAAGATACTTAGTTGAATAACTCTTAAAGAACTTGGTTTCAGGAATTTAAAAAAATGGTGCCATCTATACATTTTCTGCATTAAAAAAATTACTGCTGGAGCCACCATTGCCTTGATACCAAAAGCAGACAAGGACATATAAAAAGAAAACTGCAGACCAATATCCCTGATTAATATAAATACAAAAATTCTCAGCAAATACCGGCAAATTGAAACCAATAGTATGTTAAATAGATCATAAATCAGGACCAGCAGATGGTGTAGTGATTATGTTGCTGGACTCCCATGTAGTCAACTGAAGTTCAAATCTCAAACCTGGCAGCTTAAAACACACCAGGTTTGTGGCATCCCAACATCCCAAGAGGAGAATGAAGTGAATGGAAAAGAAGGGATTGTGGCATGGCTATCACCCCTGTGTGGTGATTTCTTGCTTTCTGTCTCTCTCCCTCTCTCCCTCTCTCTGGTGAGTGCACACACTCTATAGTTCTCACACCCATCTAAGAAAAACCTCTACCTCAAAAAAAAAAAAAAAAAAAAAAAAAAGAAAGGAAAAGACCATATAGATTTTATTTATTCTGGAGATGCAATGATGGCTCAACATATGTAAACAATAAATTTAATACATCACATTAATAGAAGAAAAGGCAAAAAAAAAATCATATCAATTGAACCAGAAAAAGCATTTGATAAAATTCAATATCGCTTCATGATCCAGACCAAAAAAAAAAAAAGATCATATCAATTGAACCAGAAAAAGCATTAGATAAAATTCAATATCGCTTCATGATCCAGACTCTCAATAAAATAGATGAAGAAAGTACATTTCTCAACATAGTCAAAGTCATATATGACAACCCAACGCTGACATCATACTGAATGAGGTAAAGGTAGAGCTTTTCCACTAAAAACTGATGCAACACAAGGTTGTCCACTTTCTCCACTCCTCTTCAGCATAGTATTAGAAGTCTGGGAACCAGCAATTAGCGTAATGGCTATGTCGCTGGACTCCCACGTAGTCGACCGCGGTTCGCGTCCCGGACCCGGTGGCTTCAAAATCCAGCC